CACTTATAAATATCTATGCACCCAACACAGGAGCACCAAAGTACATAAAGCAACTATTAACAAATCTAAAAGAAGACATTAATAATAACACAATAATAGTAGGGGACCTCAACACTCCACTCACATCACTGGATAGATCATGGAGACAGAAAATCAACAAGGAAACAGGGGAATTAAATGAAAAGCTAGACCAGGTGGACTTAACAGACATATATAGAACACTCCATACAAAAACAGCAGAATACACATTCTTCTCAAGAGCGCATGGAACATTCTCAAGGGTACACCACATGTTTGGAAACAAGGCAAGCCTCAGTAAGTTTAAGAAAACTGAAATAACAACAAGCATATTTTCCAATCACAATGCCATGAAGCTGGAAATTAATTACAAGAAAAAAGCTGAGAAAGGGACAAAGATGTGGAGACTAAACAACAGGCTACTGAACAACCAATGGATCACTGAAGAAATTAAAGGAGAAATCAAAAAATATCTGGAGAAAAATGAAAATGAAAACATGCCGTACCAACTCATATGGAATGAAGCAAAAGCCATAGTAAGAGGGAAATTCATCGCAGTACAAGCTCACCTTAACAAATAAGAAAAATCCCAAATAAGCAATCTCAAACTACACCTAACTGAATTAGAAAAAGAAGAACAAAGCCTAAAGTCAGAAGAAGGAGAGAAATAATAAAAATCAGAACAGAAACAAATGCTATTGAAACAAAAAAGGCAATAGAATGGATCAATGAAACACAGAGCTGGTTCTTTGAGGAGATAAAGAAAATTGACAAACCCCTAGCCAGACTTACAAATAAAAAAAGAGAGAAAGCTCAGGTAAATAAAATTAGAAATGAAAGAGGAGAAATAACAATGGATACCACAGAGATACAATGGATTATAAGAGAATACTACAAAAAGCTATGTCAACAAAATGAACAATCTAGAGGAAATGGATAAATTCTTAGACTCTTACAAACTCCCAAAGCTGAACCAAGAAGAAATAGATAATCTGAATAGACCAATCACAAGTAAAGAGATGGAAACAGTAATCAAAAGCATCCCCAACAATAAAAGCCCAGGACCAAATGGCTTCCCTGGAGAATTCTACCAAACTTTCGGAGACGACTTAATACCTATCCTTCTCAAGCTATTCCAAAAAATTAGGGAAGATGGAACACTTCCTAACACATTCTATGAGGCCAACATCATTCTGACACCAAAGCCTGACAAGGACAACACACAAAAGGAAAACTACAGGCCAATATCACTGATGAACATAGATGCAAAAATCCTCAACAAAATTTTGGCAACCCAAATACAGCAATACATCAAAAAGATCATACATCATGATCAAGTGGGATTTAAACCAGGGACACAGGGATGGTTCAACATCCCCAAATCAATCAGCGTGATACACCACATCAACCAACTGAGGAATAAAAACCACATGATCATCTCAATAGATGCAGAGAAAGCATTTGACAAGATCCAACAGCCATTTATGATACAAACTCAACAAAATGGGGATAGAAGGAAATTACCTCAACATAATAAAGGCCACATAAGACAAACCCACAGCCAACATCATACTCAATGGGCAAAAACTGAACACCAACCCTCTGAGAACAGGAACAAGACAAGGAGGCCCACTTTCACCACTCTTGTTCAACATAGTACTGGAGGTTTCAGCCAGAGCAATTAGGTAAGAGGTGGAATAAAAGGAATCCAAATAGGCAGTGAAGAAGTGAAACTCTTGCTGTTGGCACATGACATGATATACAGAAAACCCTAAAGAATCCATCAGAAAGCTATTAGAAATAAGTAACAACTACAGTAAAGTTGCAGGGTACAAAATCAACTTATAAAAATCAGTCGCATTTCCATACTCTAATAATGAACTTACAAAAAGAGAACTCAAACATACAATTCCATTTATAATTGCAACAAAAAGAATAAAGTATCTAGGAATAAATTTAACCAAGGAGGTGAAGGACTTATACAATGAAAACTATAAGACATTATTGAAAGAAATAGATAATGACATAAAGAGATGGAAAGAGAGTCCATGCACATGGATTGGAAGAATAAACATAGTTAAAATGTCCATACTACCCAAGCAATCCATAGATTCAATGCAATCCCAATCAGAATCCCAATGACATTCTTCATGGAAATAGAGCAAATCCCAAAATTCATATTGGGCCACCAAAGACCCCGAATTGATAAAGCCATCCTGAGAAAAAAGAACAAAGTTGGAGGCATCATAATCCCTGACTTCAATATGTACTACAAAGCCATAGTTATCAAAACAGCATGGTACTGGTACAAAAACAGGCACACAGATCAGTGGAACAGAATTGACAGCCCAGAAGTAAAACCACACATCCACGGACAGCTAATCTTTGGCAAAGGTGCCAAGAACATAAAATGGAGAAAAAATAGTCTCTTCAATACATGGTGTTAGGAAAACTGGACAGCTACATGCAAAAGAATGAAACTAGACCATTATCTCACACCATACACAAAAATAAACTCAAAATGGATCAAAGACTTGGACATAAGTCCTGAAACCATAAAACTCCTGGAAGATAATATAGGTAGTACACTCTTTGACAGCGAAATTAAAAGGATCTTTTCGAATACCATGTCTACTCGGACAAGGGAAACAAAAGAAAACATAAACAAGTTGGTGTTCCTCAGACTAAAGAGGTTCTGCAAGGCAAAAGAAACTAGGATCAAAACAAAAAGACAACCCACTAAGTGGAAGAAAGTATTTGCAAATCATATATTCGACAAGGGGTTAATCTCCATAATATATAAGGAACTCACACAATTGAACTACAAAAAAACAAACAGCCTGATCAAAAAATGGACAGAGGATATCAACAGACATTTTTACAAAGAAGATATACAGAGGGCCAATAAACACATGAAAAGATGTTCAACATCACTAATCATCAGGGAAAGACAAATCAAAACTACACTAAGATACCACCTTAAACCTGTTAAAATGGCTATAATCACTAAGACTAAAAATAACAAATGTTGGAGAGGGTGTGGAGAGAAGGGAACCCTCATACATTGCTGGTGGGAATGCAAACTGGTGCAGCCATTATGGAAAACAGTTTGGAGATTCCTTAAAAAAATAAAAATAGAAATATCATATGACCCAGGTATCTCACTACTGGGTATCTACCGAAATAACTTGAAATCAACAATCCAAAGTAACATATGCACTCCTATGTTCACTGCAGCACTATTCACAAGAGCCAAGACATGGAAGCAATCCAAGTGCCCATCGACCGACAATTGGATAAAGAAGATGTGGTATATATTTACAATGGAATATTACTCAGGCACAAGAAAAGACAAAATCATCCCATTTGCAACAACATGGATGGACCTGGAGGGAATTATGCTAAGTGAAATAAGATAGACTGAGAAAGACAAACACATATGATTTCACTCATATTTGGAATATAAACAAACACAGGGACAAAGAAAACAGTTCAGGGGAAGGGTGTGGGGGGTGGGCACAGCGGTTGAAGGGGAGCACTCACGTGGTGATAGTCAAGAAATAATTTACAACTGAAATTTCACAATGATGTAAACTATTATGAACTCAGTAAAAAATAAGCAAAAAAACAAAAACAAAAAAAACCCAGACTTATATAGTGAAAAAAAAGAGCTTTCTGAGCTGAGAAAAAGATGAAACCAAACAAAAACAAACATTTTGTGAAACTTACCTCACATCAATTTGATCTCTATTCACTGAGATATAAAATTTAACAAAGTCAGGACTACCAACTTAAAAAGGATAACTTTTAAAAAGTTAAAAGCACTATGTAAAAACAAGATGTTATTACTATTTTTTAGTAAAGCAAAGGACCCTATTGAGAATAAAATTACATTTAGCCGTACTTGGTAAGAAGCAAAATGGTTGTTTTTGGTTTTGCTCTGGGGCACACAGATTCTTTTCTCATCTTCTTTTACAATGAAAAGATTCCTAAAATGAGGCCCCTTTACTCCTCAAGGACAAGGACTTTGTCTTCTTTATCCCCAGTACCTAGCAGAGAGCTTGGTACTCAAATGTTTGTTGAACTCAACAAGGGATGAGAAAGGAAGGGAAATATGTTGGTAGAGATCTGGTGAGAGTTGTTCCAGATCTGAAGGATCATATGAAAGGAGAGATTAACAGAAGGAAGAAAATAAACAGCAAGATGAATTTTACACCAATTAGAAAGAAGTGAAGCTGGCAAGTATGGGAAACTGGCAAGTTTTCTTCATCTAGATAAGAGGAAAAAAGCAGAGAGATCTAGATCTTAAAATCATGCAAATGACTGTGGTCCAATTTGGAGAGAATTTTCTTAGCCTGAAAGAAGGAAGGCAAAGAATTAAAGACAGCCAAAACTCTGGTGTTTGGGAGACTGAGATGTTGATGTTGGTATCTTCTAAAAGGGGTAAGGTTTAAGACACCGAGAGTGGAATTCAGGCAAGGGTAGGAATTTTGCCTTCTTATTAAAATTGAGTTGATAAAATATTTAAGGATGTGGGCCAAAGAAAGCAAATGCAATTGAGCGAAGAAAAACAAGCCAAGTAAATAATTTTAGATGGCTATCAAAGCTGTGGAAGTAGGTGAGTTCTTCCTTAGAAAATGTGTGAAAGGAAACAAAAATAGAGAAAATACTCCTATGGACTACGTATGGTAACAGGGAGACGATGGAGATAAGGAATATTTAAAAACAGATTCGGAAAGAGTGGTCCATGGGCAGGGGCATTTTAAAAGAAGAGATATTTAATCTTTTTAAAAGAAGAGGCCAAGCAAAATGTAACATTTCCTTAGGAAGGAATTAGCTATTATAAGTCTTTGAAATCAAGATGCGGCTGGAATGGAGGGAAAGGATTCTCTAAAGAGAATCAAAAAGAACTGCATCGGGGAAGGCAAACATACCAAATAGCATGGTGAACTCTTGTGTTTTCTTTGAAGATGGCACATTACCTGTTGAAAAGTTGTTGAAGCTTTTCTCCCTTGCTCTAGATCAACTGCAGCTGCCATAAGTAAACATGTTTTCTGTGCAATCAGAATGACTTGATCAGAAGGACAAAACTGGGACAGCTGATAAGAAATAACCAAAATATCACTGAATAGTGAGAATTCTGCCAGGTGAACATAAACAATCAGAATGAAAATCAGCAACATCCTGCCTGAATGAGAAGATTCAGCTGGAAAAGCACATCTCACTTTAAAAATGACATAGAGTAGAACATTGATTTACGGTTTTAATTTTATATTACTTCATTGTCTTTTAGCACCTTTCCAGAGATAAAAAGCTTCATTTTGTCACAATTCTTGTATCTTTCTCAGTGACAAGTACTGTCATTTGGCCCTGTATTTCTATCCAGTGATTTACTTCTTGGTTTATGTTGTAATTTCTAAGTGATTTTTCCTTAGCAAACAGATCTCTTCTTTGCACTGAATACAGCTGAAATTAGTATATATATATTGTCATGGTTGAAAGAAACAATGTCAAAGTTTGACAGACATTACACATAACCTCATCATTAAACTTTGTCCTCTAGCTTTAGAAAAAAACCTCCAAGCTTTGTACTACAATAAAACTCTAGGCCGCTTGGGATTCTTACATGGAATCTTACTAGAGCTATCACAAATGTCAAAAACAAAACTAATTTATTTCACCTAATTAAAATGGCAATTATACCTGAACTGTCAAAGACTATTTCTTTCTTTCTTTCTTTTCTCTTTTTTTTTTTTTGAGGAAGATTAGCCCTGAGCTAACATCTGCCACCAATCCTCCTCTTTCTGCTGAGGAAGACTGGCCCTGAGCTAACATCTGTGCCCATCTTCCTCTATTTTATATGTGGGATGCCTGCCAGAGCATGGCTTGATAAACGGTGCATAGGTCTGCGCCCAGGATCCGGACCTGCAAACCCCAGGCCGCCGAAGCCGAGTGAGTGAACTTAACTGCTAAGCCACCAGGCCAGCCCCTCAAAGACTATTTCTTAATCTCTCAAAATGTTTAGTGGTCATAATCATCACCATCATTGAATTAATAGCATTTCAAGACACCCAATCTCTCTAGGTCTCAGGTTATTCATATATAAAATGAGGGAGCTGTGTTAGATTGTCTCTGTACTTCTTTCCAGTTCTAAAACTCTCAACATTTAATCTATTTCAACACATCATACTGTGTACTCCTGAATGTGTATGACAGATATTCTTTCGCCCCTCTCCTTTTATTTTCTCATCAATACTTGTTCTCTTTCTGTCATTTAACCTCTACCTTGGAGGCTAATGACTATTTTAAAATGCTTATAATTACAAAATAAGCTCACAAATCCTTACACACCGAACCTGCTCTAGGAAAAATTATAAAGTAGGACCAAGATTCTTAGCATCATTTTCACTCCTTGTTGTCCCTAGATACCTATTCTATATTCCTATTGACCTATACCCAAAAGCCTTCCTAATGTTTTAGTAATTGACAACTTCTTAGTGTATTCTCCTCCTAAAGATAGTTATAGCCAGCCCTGGTGGTCTAGTGGTCGAGATTCAGTGCTCTCACTGCTGCGGGCTGGGTTCATTTCCCAGTCAGGAAACCACACCACCCATCTGTCGGTTGTCATACCGTGGTGGCTGTGTGTTGCTGTGATACTGAGAGCTATGCTACCAGTATTTCAAATACTGGCAGGGTCACCCATGGTGGACAGGTTTTAGCAGAGCTTCCAGACCAAGAAAGACTAGGAAGAAGGACCTGGCCACCCACTTCCAAATACATTGGCCATGAAAACCCTGTGAATAGCAGTGGAACATTGTCTGATATAGTGCCGGAAGGTGAGAGGATAACACAAAAAGACCTGGCAGGGTTCCACTCTGCTGTACCCAGGCTCGCTAGAGGTCAGAATTAACTCAATGGCACTGATGATAAAGATAGTTATATTTTAATATAGGACTCTGAGAGACTAAACCTTCAAAGGCAAAGCAATAAGTTTTTTAAGGTAGAACTTTGGGCTTCATGATGGTTGTTTCTGATATTTTGGTATGGGGAGACCTGCCTCATGTTCTCATGTTATACCTTATAGAGATCAAATTCTCCTTAGGTCATTCCTGCTTAGACATATATTAAAAGTTCTTAGATTAAAAGCTAATCCCACTCTATATTTAGCCCATGACCATAGCCATAGTGGTCATATCCTTGCTGTGGTTCACACACGAGATACTTATTAGAAGATATTTACCTTATAAGAAAGCATGAAAAACTCTCTCATTGTCACTGGGTCTTTGTCACATTGCACAGCCAAGTTCCAAGCTGAAATAATATAATATAATTATGCAAATCTACTGTTTAATCTGTACCATTATAATCTCCACTACCTATGTCTTTAATATTAATATACTAATGAGGTATTTCTCAGGGGTTAAAAAAGCTAACTTTAGGTTTTTAGAGAAATTTTTTCCAGGTAAATTTAGATACCTCTATCACTTGCAATCTTTAATTCTAGGCTAATGACCAAAGGAGGTAGTGCTGAATTTTATTTTAAAAATTGGGGACATACAATAAATTCTTGGTTGGCACAAATCCAGCTAAAAAATGAGGATCGCCAAGGAGCTCACCAACTGTAAATGGTGAAAGAAATTTAAAATTCAGCAAAGAACAGGGTACATTAGAATCAAGGTTGAAGAAAATTGCTGGAAAGATTCACATCTTCCATAGAGCAGTGGAACCCTCTATTAGGCAACATTCAGCATGATTTTCACCTTGGAAAATCAAAATTAAAATTCAGTAGAAGAAGTACTAGAAAACAAGTTTTCAAACTTCCAAAAGATCAAAGTCATTAAACCTTTCTATAGTGTAAATGTTTGTTATTTTCCATTATTTGCATAAATTTCTTAGAAGCCAGATTGCTGTATTTATTCCCTTTTCTCTTAGATTAGAGCCTCAGTAAACCTCACAAAGTAGAAAAAGGTCCATGTAGAACCAGTCCACTTGGTGACATGGCTGCTTAATTGCTCTTGCTTATTACTGTAGTAACTGCCTCCACCAATTTTTTAAATGTTTCTATTGAAATAGAACCTACATAAAATAAATTACACAACTCATAATTGTACAGCTCGATGAATTTTCAGAGTGAATATATCCATGTAACCAATCTGGATCAAGAAAGATCTTGATCACTACCAGAAAACCAGAAGTAACTCCATCAACCCTCTTCAAGTCCAACCCCTAGGAGAGGGTAACCACTATCCTGAGTTCCAACATCATAAATTAGTTTTGCCTGTTGTTTTTTTACTATATATAAATGGAATCATGCAGTATATACTCAATGTCTGACTTCTTTTGCTCAACATTATGTGTGTGAGATTCATCTATATTGTTGCGTGTAGTTTTTCTTTTTCTTTTTTTTTTTGAGGAAGATTAGCCCTGAGCTAACATCTGCTGCCAATCCTCCTCTTTTTGCTGAGGAAGACTGGCCCTGAGCTAACATCCACGCCTATCTTCCTCTATTTTATATGTGGGATGCCTACCACTGCATAGCTTGTCAAGCAGTGCCATGTCTGCACCCAGGATCCGAACCGGCGAACCCCGGGCCGCCAAAGCAGAACGTGCGCACTTAACCACTGCGCCACCTGGCCAGCCCTCATGTAGTTTATTTTTGATGAATCACATTTAGAAATAAATTGGACATTCTAGACCAAGTTTAGGAGCATAACCTTGGGGACCTGCAGTTATAATTCATGATTTTACTCTTAGAGTCATTTCTATAGAAAAGGAAGAAAACTAATGTTTATTGAGTACCTACTATATCCAAGGTACATACACTGTTTCATTTAAAACCTTTAATAATCCTACGAAGTATGTATAATTATTCTCATTTTATAAATAATGAAACAGAGATTAAGCAAGTTATCCTTGTACCCATAGCTACAAACGAAAGAGTCAGAACTTGAATCCACATTTGTCTGATTCTACTACCCCACAATGTTTCCCATGCTACAGAATTTCCTTTTACCTATTTTTCGAAACCAATGAGCTTCATTAGTCCTTGAGTCTGAAGTTGAGGCTTTTCCATCAAAAAACTGAGCAAGTTTCAGGAGTGCTGCATCAAACAGGAAAATATGATATTGAGGTCTTTTACTTCATACTCTAGCAAAATTGTTAATCCTGCTTTAAAAACAGTCAAACATGAGTTTGAATTTAGAAAGTTCTTTTTTTTGTGTTTGTGCATGAATGCATACCAAAAGTAATTAAAATGACAAAAAAGCATTACCAAGCTCCAAGAAGCTGGTTACCTCAAATTTTGGGGGACAAGCACGTCTTTGGAGAGATTTATAATTTTAATTAAAGCAATCATTCAACACCTGAGGTAGAAAGATATGATTTACGTGTAAGGAAATAAAGAATAGGAACAATCATTAAAAAGACTGAAATGGAGATTGAGAATTGGAAAAGTGCCTATCTATAGGCTGACATAATATTTACTGAGCTCCTACAGCAAGCACAGTACAGAACCAGAACATGCTGTCATCATCAGAAAGCATATATTACATACCCACATGCCTTTCTGAGAGATAAGAATGCCAAACAGCAAAGTTTTTCTCTTTTGAGAACCTTTGGTTTCTAAACCACTTTGCTACATTTAACACATTGTTGACAGGTATTTGAAGTATAAAATTGAACTACCACAATAAATGGAATAGAATTTCTAAGATCTGAACTTTCTGGTGTATTTCGGACATAAGGAAATAGATGCATGGACAGTGGTAATTGGAAGACCTGTTAGGCAAAAGGGACACCAGGTAAGAAAGCATGGAGTTGGAAAAAGGGATGCAATGTAGCTAGGAGCTTAGCTTGAATGAAATGGACAGGGAGGAATTATTAGTAGATAGGGGAGATGATCCAGACTTGGGTAGATAGGAGGACAGCTTCAAAATTACAGAGTAAACAATCTGAATTTGATTCAGAGGACATGAAAATTAGCAGGGTTCAGAAAATTTTCATTTGTCTTGATTCTTTTTCATCTGTTCAATTCCTAGGTTAGGAGCAAGTGGCAAGAAGGAATGGGGGCAGGGCGGGAAATGTCTTTAAAACAAATTGGAATAAAATCAGAACTGAAATTACATTTGGAGATTAGTCCTGTTGATGACAAACTTTTCCCTGCCTGTGAATAGAGAAACCAAGGTAGACTGCTGTGGCAAACATTAATCAAAGCACGACATTTAACTCAAACATGAAGTTTGAGTTAATGTGCTCAGTGTACCTGGAGAATTTAATAGAGGATAGAGGCAAGATAAAGGACTGAAAATAACCAAGGAGATATTTACCTATATTCAAGCAAGTCAAGAGTCTATCCATTTCTTTCTTTCTAAAAGATAAAGAAAAGAGTGTTTTCCTACTGTTCCAAAGCTTTACCATAGAAAAGTACCAAAAGGAGACACTATTTGTGCCTGACAGCTGTGCAAAGAAAATGCAAAATTGTGAAGTTTGTTGTTCAAGGCCCCAACTTATCATTTCAACACCATTTTCCCCCACTACAGGATACTGTGCCTCATTCCCAGTGCTGATATTTTTTCTCTTTTCTTCTTCTACACCTACTCCCAACAGAGGATTTAAATGACTGATAAGGTTTTTTATCACAGGGTCATAGAATTTGAGAGCAGGTAGTAATCTCTATGATTTTTAAGCTTTTTTTTTTTTTTGAAGAGGGGGAATTGGAACCTTTGTCTCAAATAAAATTTTATAGAAGTCTAATATACAAGAAAAGATAAAAGTGTAGCTGCTTGGGTTGAACCAGTGGTAGGTGGAGGCCTAGAGTCTCACCTTCCTGGAAGTCCCTGAGGTAGTGCCACAGAATTTCCAAGGTTCTGAGGAACATAGTCTAAAAATCACTTATCCAGTCCAGACCCTTCATTTTACAGATGAGAAAACAGACCAGCAAATGGGGGATGATTTGTCCAATGTCAGGCAATTAATGATAATGTCATGACTATTACCCAGGTCTCTTGACCCTTTGTCAAGCTTCTTTAAGGGGTAATATAAATTTTAACAGAGGAAAAACATCTCATTTTGCCTAAACAAAGGAACAAATTTTTTAAAAATTTAGCATATGAGTTGTTAATACTTACATAGATACTGATAGTTGAAAATCATAGGACTTTTAGAAGAGAAAGGAACTTTAGAAATTATCCAGTCCAGCTTTCTTTATTTAACAGATGAGGAAAATAAAGCTTAGAAGTGTTAAATAAGTTGTTACTGCCTAAAGTAAACCGGAAGTTAGTGAAATAGCTGAAATTAGAATTCAATTCTCTGACTCTTCCCATTGAATGAGGCTTTTTTTTTTTTTTTTTTTACAAGTTAGTCTAATCTATTTGTTAAATCAGGTCCTGGCCTCTACCTGAAAACACTGCTAGCAGTTCTGTTACTATATTTACTTGAAAACAATAAAGGTATGTTTTAAAAATATTCTGTAATTTGTTTATCAATAATTCAAACAGGATCCCTTCCCTTTTCCCTGTCTCTAAACTGGTTTTAATGAATAGGATTTGACTGTATGCCACAATTATGTGGAATATAAAGTACCTTACAAGACCAGTGCTAAAGATCTTCTTGTAAAGAACTGATATTCAGTCATTTAAATAAGTTGAGTGGCTATTATGTGTCAGATACTGTCCCTAGGTTCCAGAGATACAAAGATAAACACAAACAGTCCTGGCCCTCAAGGAGCTCTTACAATATAGTAACTATCAAGGTTTAATATCTGAGTTTCCTTTTTTTTTTTGTGAGGAAGATTGGCCCTGAGCTAAAATCTGTGCCAATCTTCCCCTATTTTAATGTGGGATGCCACACAGCATGGTTTGACCAGTGGTGCTAGGTCTGCACCCAGGATCTGAACCTGTGAACCCAGGGCCACCGAAGCAGAGTGTGCGAACTTAACCACTACACCATCGGGCTGGCCCCTCTGAGTTTCCTTTTTTATTTTTAAATTTTTTATTGTGGAAAACTCCAAAGATGTTTATATGTTAACAGATGAATGAATCCCTATGAACCCATCACCCAGCTTCAGTAATTATTAACTCATCATCGATCTTATTTTAATGATACCTCCACCCACTCCTTCCCCTCCCATATTATTTTGAAGTAAATTCCAGACATCATATCATTTCATCCATAAATATTTTAGAATGTGTCTCTAAGACATAAGGATTCTTTTTTTAATTTAAAAAAAATTTTTAAGCTGTTTTTTTCCTGCTTTTTTTCTCCCCAAATCCCCCCAGTACATAGTTGCATATTTTAGTTGTGGGTCCTTCTAGCTGTGGCATGTGGGATGCTGCCTCAGCATGGCCTGATGAGCGGTGCCATGTCTGCGCCCAGGATCCGAACTGGCGAAACCCTGGGCGGCCGAAGCACAGTGCACGAACTTAACCACTCAGCCATGGGGACGGCCCAAGGATTCTTTTTTTAAAACAACCACATTACCATTATAGGCTTAAAAATTAATAATTTCTTAATATCATCAAATATTTGGTCATTATTCAAAATTTCAAATTGTCTCAATATCTTTTGTTTGTTTGAGTTCTCTTCTAGTGGATTCTTACAGCCTGTAAAGAAGAGGCAAAAATTATCATATATGCTTGGGTATAATTTGCACTATGAAAAAAAGTTATGTCATCAATCCAATATTATCTCCATCACAGTTACTTCCCAAATAAATTAGCTGAAAAAATATATTGTCTCCAGGTACAAATACATAAAGCAAAAGTAAAGTAGAGAGACACTATTACAGGGCTTTTGTCCAAGTAGAGAATGTAGAGATGGGTGATATTTCTCTGAAAGTTATCCCTAATCAAGACCTTGAATGGAGTTTTCTTTCAAATCATTAAAAGGTAGTGAATTTTGTGAATGAAAAATTGGTGACCCAATTCTTCCATGATTGTTAAGTTCTTGATATCTTATGCCACAGAAAACGCAAACAGAAAGATATTTGAATACTCCCAGCTAAGCTGATGAAGAATCAGAATCAACAAGCCAACCAGGTTATATGTTTCTGTGGGAAAGTAAGAGATATGTCTATATTTAAGTCTCCTGTTAAGAAAGAGGGAAACAGATGCAATATCACAATGAAATCATAGCTAACATGATTGAGGGCCTAGTAAGGGCCTGGCACTCTTCTTCTAAGTGTTTTACACATATTTACTCATGGGATCATCACAGCAACCCCATAATGTAGGTACTACTATCATTCTCTTTTTACAGATGGGGAAACAGAAGCCCAGGTTCCACATCTAATAAGTGGCAGAGCCAGGATATGAACCCAGGAAGACTGGCCCCAGAGCTTATATTGATCTTATCCATTATACTATACATCACTCAATATCAGGTTTATATCGAAATTAACTATAATTTTTCTAATGGTTATACATCATTTCTGTTGAAATAACTTACTTGTTTTCAGATTCTGGCATTTGAGAAACTTTTGGAAGAACAAGACGAAACAAACACCTGCATGATAAAGTAATATAAAAAGTGATGCTTAGGAAAAAACATGTGAAAGAATTTATACCAAGTTATTAACCTTGATTACCTCAGGAGTCAGAAGTGTGAAAAGAGAGAGTAAGGAGGAAATTTTATTTTATTTAAAGATCTTTGTATTGTTTTAATGATTGCAATGAAAACATCCCAATTTTGTAATTTTGGAAGTGTAATTTAATAAAATAATTTTAAAACAAAAGTGTTGCTTATGACAAATTCTTAAATAGTTACACAGTTTATATCATCGCCCCAAATCACCTGCTATAACATCAGGTATGATGTACAAGTCTTTATATTTTTCTTTCTGTAAAGGAACCTGGAACTGCCTTTTGGGCTCCATATAAACTAGGATGACGATTTTTTGAAGGGATCTGGCAGTATAATGACAAACTGACAAAATAAGGTAGTTTGTAAAGTGTAAAACCCTAAAAATCTTTAAAAATACCATCTATCCTGAATGATTTTAGCTATCTATCTGACTGAAGGCATGCAAGTGTCTCAAGACTCCTTCTGATACTTTTATTTCTGTGACTCTATTTCCCTTTGAAGTGTGGCCTCAAGTGTAGTTGATCAACAGGGGAACCACTATAGAACCCTCTGGTTTCCAATTTTTCCCACTGGCATATTCTCAGTCACATCATTAGGAGCTATCATATCCTAACCTCACACTCCTCTGCCACACTATTGTATATAAAAGTTCCCTTTTGATAAACCATTTTTCTTCATAAAAAAAGAGAAGGGTGAAGATCAGGTTCAAATGATCTTTTTTTACTTTAAGCATCCCTATCAAATTTCCAATGGCATTTTTTTCACACAAATAGAAAGAAAATCCTAAAATTCATATGGAACCACAAAAAACCCCGATAGCCAAAGCAATCTAGAGAAAGAAAAACAAAGCTGTAGACATCACATTTGTGATTTCGAACTATACTACAAAGCTACAGTAATCAAAAAAGCATGGTATTGGCATAAAAATGGTCACATAGACCAAAGGAATGGAATAGAGACCCCAGAAATAAACCCATGTATATATGGCCAACTAATACTTGACAGGGGAACCAAGTATATTCAATGGGGGAAAGATAGTCTTTTCAATAAATGGCGCTGGGAAAACTGGGTATTGACATACAAAAGGATGAAATTGGACCCCTATCTTATACTACTCATAAAAATTAACTTGAAATGGATTAAAGAGTTAAATGTAAGACCTGAAACCATAAAACTCCTAGAAGAAAACACAGGGGAAATCTCCTTGACAATGATTTTTTTGGACATGACACCCAAATCACAAACAACAAAAGGAAAAATAAACAAGTGGGACCACATCAAACTAAAAAGCTTCTGCACAGCAAAGGAAACTATCAACAAAATGAAAATGCAACCTATACAATGGGAGAAAATATTTACAAACCATATATCTGATAAGGGGCTAATATCCAAAATATATAAGGAACTCAACAGCAAATGACCAAATAATCTGATTAAAAAATGGACAGAGAACTTGAATAGACATTTTTCCAAAGAAGACATACAAATGGTCAACAAGTACATGAAAAGATGCTCATCATCACTAAGCATCAGGGAATTGCAAATCAAAACCACAATGAGATATCATTTCCACCTGGTAGAATGGCAATTATCAAAAAAACAAGAGGTAAGTGTTGGCAAGGATGTGGAGAAAAGGGATCCCCTGTGTACTGTTTGTGGGAATGTATATTGGTGTAGCCACTATGGAAAAAGATAAGGAGGTTTCTCAAAAATTAAAAATAGAACTATCATATGACCCAGAACTCTCACTTCTGGGTATATATCCAAAAGAAAGGAAATCACTATCTCAAAGAGATATCTGAACCCCCATATTCATTGCAGCATTATTTACAATAGCTAAGACATGGAAACAACCTAAGTGTCTATCGATATGTGAGTGGATAAAAAAATGTGGTATGTACACACACACACACACGCACACACACACACACGCTGGAATATTATTCAACCATATAAAAAAAGGAAATCGCACCTTTTGCACCAACATGGGTGGACCTTGAGAGCATTGTACTAAGTGAAATAAGTCAGAGAAAGACAAATCTGCATTATCTCGCTTAAATATGGAATCTTGAAAAAAAGTCAAATGCATAGAAACAGAGTAGAATGTTGGTTGTCAGGGGCCAAGAGTGGAAGAAATGGGGAGATGCTGGTCAAAGGGTAGAAACTTCCAGTTATAAGATGAATAGGTTCTGGGGATCTAACGTACAGCATGGTAACTATAGTTAACAACACTGTATTATGTACTTAAAAGTTGCTAAGAGAGCAAATCCTAAAAGCTCTCACCACACACAAAAAAACTTGTAATTTTGTGAGGTGATGGATATGTTAACTAACCTTATTGTGCTAACCATTTTGCAATATATACATGTATCAAATCATCAATCATCAGGTTGTACACCTTAAACTTACACAATGTTATTTGTCAATTATATCTCAATAAAGCTGGTGGAAAAAAACAGTTGGTATAGTAGGCATTGACTCAGACCGATCTTATCAGTACTATTTCAGCAAAGCTTATAGACCAAGAGTAAGACGAACAGAGGAAATCCTTTCACATCCACAGGGTGTGGATTACTTACTTTAAAGCTGTAAGAACTTGTTGTGGGTCTTCTGAATATTGAGCTAAATATTCCAAAGCTTTTCCCGCCACAATTTGTTGTCCATGCTAAAAAGAACAAATATAATATGTTAAATTACATCTCAAAGTGATACAAAGTGTCATCTATATTCCTGTCCATTAAGGAGAAGAAAGAAATCTGAATTTGTTCATTTTGTATTTTCAAAAGGGCTACTGCAAGATGGTAGAATGAAGATACAACTCGTTGACAAAAACAGAACAAGTTCATATTGGCCCCAGAAACCCACTCCTTCCGATCCACAAACACTCATAGCCGGGCCAACACTGCTATGAATCCACTAGGACTAATCTTATTGTGCTCTCTATTGCTGTTTATTAGCAGTAACCAAAAGATCCCCAGACTCTCAGGTCACTCTTATTTCCAGCACCCTAATCCCCATAAGGCTCTGTAAATCCATTCTTTTGTTCTCTTTTCCCATTTCTCTCCAACTCCTCCAACCCTTCCACTATGCTTTCTGAAATTCAGTCCATTATCAGTAAAATCTCCTCTGCGAGTAACCTCTTCTCTGAAAGTTCCCTCCACATTCTTTCTCTAATGGAAACCTAGGTTTCGCCAAGGATACTGCTTCCAATGAAGCCCTCTCAAGTGGTGGCTGTTTTTCTCTTATCTCCCTTCTACCTCTACAGCTGAAGAAGCAGTAGGCATAGTTTCTGCTCTTTATTGCTGTTTTAAGATTAGCCTTCCTTAAAACCCCCAGCTGTGAATTTCTGTCATCAGACTATATCACCCACTATCCCTCATTGTTGCAGTGATCTACCAGCTCTCAAGCCATTTCTTGATGACTTATCTACTGCTCAGTTATTTTCTCCAGAAACTACTCCTGTACTAACTTTTGGCATTTTCATTATATACATAGATGATCCTCCTACTCTCCTAGTCTCCTATTTCCTTGAATTTCACTCTGCCAATTACCTTAGCTATTCACTAGCACAGTCATTCACTGGACCCTGGCACTACTAATGATTACAACTCTTCCATATTCTCCCTCAGGGCTGGGACTAGGGTGAGCTAGCTGATGCAAGTGAGGCTCCTAGGGTGTAAATTTTAAGGAGATACTCTAAGGGTCATGCAGGGACCAACCTTACACTTGCATGACCCTGAGAGTGAGTGCTTCCTTAGGTAACTTACTCCCTCACCCTAGTCCTGCACCCTACTGTTTTATGTCTTCTACTTTCTGACCACCATCTCTTACCTTTCTAACTCACTCCCTCTAGTACTCCAGCAATCCTTTAACTGCACTAAGACCTCCAATCCATTGATGCTACTAATTTTTCACTCTCCTTCATCCTCTTCATGTCCTCCTCCATACCCAGTTTAAATTCCATGGGGATTACTAAGTATAAATACTCCTTTGCTTCCTGACTTTCCTGCCCCTCTTTTGCTTCATTGTATTTATCTGGCAAAACCACAAGCCTAGTTAAATCCAACTTTCTACTGACTTTTGCACCTGCATCATGCAGCTGAAAGAGGCTGAATAAAAACCCATAAAACTATTTGCTTTATTTTAAAACTTCATCAAATGGGCCTTAATACTACAGGGCCAGCATACTACACTATCCTTGTCATTCACTTTCTTGCATCTCTGGATAATTAGTTTACACCTTATCCTCTCTTCCCATCCCCCAACAACTCCTCTCCCATTTTCACTCTAAGGTGATGACCTTGTTTCCTACTTCACTGAGAAAACTGAAGCAGTCAGGAAGAGAACTTCCATAGATTCCCACTACCACATCTACTCACGCACCAGGAACCACACCACATACTCTGCCTTTTCAACTGCTACCATAGATGAACTATCCATGTTCCTTCCTAAAGTCAATCCCTGAACCTATACACTTGTGTCCATCACCTCTTGCCTGTTTAAGGACATTGTTCTAACAATTCTCCTTTTTCTTTCTCACATTGTCAACTTTTTGTTTTCTTACTGGGTCATTCCCATCAGCATATTAAACATTCTCATTCATTCCCATCTCAAACAAACCAACCAACCAACCTCTTGATCCTATGTCTCTCACCAATTACTACCCAATTTATTTTCTTCCCTTTGTAGCAAACTGCTCTAAAGACTTGTCTATACTCACGGTATCCAATTCCTTTCCTTCAATTCTCTCTTGAGCCTACTCCAATCACGCTTTTGCCCTACCACTCTACTAAAACTGTTACTGTCAAGCTCACCAATGACCTCCATATTGTAAATTCCAATGGTCATTTCTCAGTCCTCATTGTATTTGACAGATCAGCAACATTCAATATAGTTGATCACTGTTTCCTCCTTGAAACACATTTGGCTTCCAGACACCACATTATCCTTGTTTTCTCCTACCTCACTGGTTGCTCCCTTTTATTCTCCTTTGCTAGTTCCTCCTCTTTTCCCTAAACCATTAATGTTCAAGGGCTCCATGCTCAGTTTCTGGTCCTCTTCTCTACTCCATATATATTCACCCCATGGTGATCGTATCCAGTCTCGTAGCTGTATATACCATCTATATATTAATGTCTCTTATTAAATTTTTCTCTCCAACCCAGATCTCTTTCCCAAAATCTAGAGTCATATATCCAACAGACTACTCAGACCTCTATTTGGGTGGTTTAATAGAAACCTCAAATGCATCATGTCCAAAACTGAACTCATGCTTTTCTCCCCAAATCTGCTCTATTTGCAGCCTTTCCTAGGTCAGTTGATGGCAACTCCACTTAATGACCCAATCTCTTTCTCTTATACCTTTCATCTAATCTATCGGCAAATCCTGTTGGCTTTACATTCAAATAAACCTAAAATCCAACCATTTATCATTTACCTCCATTGTCATCTCCCTTATCTGAGTCACCATCATCTTTTCCCTAGATTACTGCAAAACCTTCCTAACAGATCTCCTTGCTTCAAGCTTGGCTCTCTTATGGTCTCTTCTCAATACACCAGCCAGAGTATTTCTGTTAAAACGAAAGTCAAATCATGTCCCCATTTCATTCAGAGTCAAAGTCAAAGTCCTTTCACTGGTCTATAAGGATCACATAATCCAGACTCTCCATTACCTCTCTGACTTCATCTCTCACTAATCCCACACTTCATTCACTCTACTCTAGCCATATTGGCTTCCTTGCTCTTCCTAGTACCTACCTTATGGTCTTTGTACTGGCTGTTACCTCTGCCTGGAATACTCTTCCTCTTCACTCCCCCGCTATATGTCTACAGGGCTAACTCCCTCACCAATTTCAAGTCTTTGCACAAATGGCATCTTCTCAATGAGACCTATCCTCATCACCCTGTTTAAAATAGTAACTCACACCAATCCCAGCCCACTCTCACTCATGATCCTTTTCATCTTGCTCTATTATTTTCAATATCACCTATCAACATCTAACATATTACAGTCACATGTCAGAATGACGTGGATACATTCTGAGAAATGCGTCACTAGGTGATTTTGTCATGGGCAAACATCACTGTGCTTACACAAACCTAGATAGCACAGCCTATTCCACATCTAGGCTATATGGTACTAATCTTATGGGACCACTGTCATATATGTTGTCCATCGTTTACCAAAATGTTGTTATGTGGTGCAAGACTGTATACGATTTGCTTATTTATTATCCATATCATTTATCATCTTCTCTCCTGCTTGAATGTAAGCTCCAAGAACGCATATCACTGTTTGGTTTACTTATTTATCCCAAGAGCCTAGAACAGTGCCTGGCGCATAGTAGGTGCTCAATCAATATTTGCTGAATGAGTGATATTCTCACTAGAACTTGAAATGCCTTTTGTAAAGCAATTGTAGTGAGTGAAAACTCGATTCTACACTTGTTCTTTTGGAGGTATATATTCAATTTCCTGGGTTTGGCTTATCCATCCTTCCTTCCAACTTCTAATTCAAACTACTTTAAGTTTTTTATTTTCTGATTCTTTCTCCTCTATTAAAACTATTTTCCTTTTCAGAAATACAGTTCCATAACTCTTCCACTGGCTTTCTTCTGCATTCCATATCGAATGTAAATTTATACACTTTCCTTTAAAAAGATACCTGCCTTTGAGTTCCCCACTACCAAATTTCTCTCATTTCCTCCTCCTCACCATCTTCTACAAACACATCTTGTATCTGCATCTGCCAAATATTTTTCTGTCTCCTGCAGTTCTACTACCCTACTCATTTACATCAAAATACATATCATTCAAACTGTATTTAGCAACTACTTTGAGATATTAGGGTAGGTGCTAAAAATATGGTCCTCAAGAATCTCACAAGTCAATTTGAACAGGCAAGCCATGCATTAGCAATACAAGGCAGTATAGATTTATAAAGACCAAATAACTAGCATACATGTTAAAAATTACTGAAATTCAGAGTAAGAAGAGAGCATTGAGGACTAGAATTTATTTGGGAAGGCTCTACAGTGGAGAGAAATCTTAGGCTGGGCTTTCAAAATGGTAGCATTTAAATAAGCTAAGATTTTTTTAAAGGGTGGGATAGTATAAACAAGACATGGAAAAGCGAATGTGATTGGCAGCCTGTTTGAGAGACACTGTGCTTTGTTGGAGTGATGGAGAGCTTATGTCTCCACCATTCTAGATCTTCTGCCTAATGTAATAGTGGTTTATACTACTAGGATGATGGTATGGGGAGTAATATGAGATAAAGTAGAGAGATAGCAGTGACCAGATTGTATATACGTTAATAAGAACAGAAACACTATACTTATGGATCAAGCTTCATAGATTACAAATCACATTTTCAGCCATCTCCTCAGTTAATTTTCACAGCAATCCTGGAGGTAGGTTTTATCTTTATTTTTAAAATGATGAAATTAAGATTCAAAGAAGTTAAGCACTTAAGTGGCAGAGCCAGTACTCAAACCCAGGCTATCATCCAGTCCAAGAGCTCCACAGTTGCTACAGTGCTTTTCCTAATCTTATATATTATTACAACTAGAATTTTGCAAGCAAAAAACAGGAGTGCAAGTATTTATTACTTCTAAACTAAAGTTGTTTTGTGGTTACGAACTAAAAAGATCCACAGAGATTTAAACTGTTTTTTTCAAATCGATGAGATCAAGTTTCCAAATAACTATTTGTTTGCATGGCATAGCATCTTAAAGCCAGAGTGTCTTTTAAAAATTAATGTTTTGCTGTGCTTATTTTTTTCTGTAGTTCTAAGCACAAATCTGTTATCTTATTTTATTTCATTTACTTTACATTATAAAGAAATGAAGAGAAAGAAAGCAATTCTGCAACCGAGCTTGGTATGAAAATATGAGGCAAAACAGAGAGCAAAGGAAGGTCTCTCCTGTGCCTAACTGATGATAATTCTATTAATTGTCTCTCAAAATGGAAAAGAGGTAAAAATCTCTGTAGATGAATACATAAGAATTACCTCTAGAGCAAACTGGGCAGCTAAACTGAGGAGCATGACAGTTGAACCTCTATCTGTAAGTAGGTTATTTTCTTCTGGCTCTTCAGCAGTTAATAAATGCTCTAAAGAAGTAATTGCCTGCAAAGCTGAAAAACAAGGAAACAATTCAAAAAATGAGATACTCTTATCAAAGATAATTGCTATCTATGGTTAATTATTCTACAATGACTTTGGAACTCATTTTAAGAGCACTAATATCTTTAAAATATTAGTTAATTTTCATAAAGTCATCTAAGTTGCTAAAATGTCAAGGAGGACTTGAATGTCAGAGAAATGCCCAACTAAGCAATTCACCTCTGTGAATTTATCCTATGAATATATTTGCAAAAGTGATCAAAAACATACAAATATGTTCATCCAGCAATTTTTCTAAGAGTAAAATATGGAACCAACCTAAATTCCTTCAATAGTAGATGGGCTACATACATTTTGGTACGTCCATAAAATTGAATACAGGATGAAGGAAAAAAATGAATGGTGGTATTACATTCTATTATGTCTTAACGGTAGACTATGATAAGTTAAATTTATCTGAAGAACAATCCTAAATGTGTATACCCCCATAACAAAATTTCAAAATACAAGAAGCAAAAACTGATAGAACTGCAGGAGAAATGAAAAAATCCACAATTATAGTCAAAGATTTCAATATCCTCTCTTAATAATTGATAGAACAAGTACACAGAAAATCAGCAAGGATATAGTACACTTAACACTATTAATCAACTTGACCTGACTGACGTTTATAGAACACTGGACCCAACACCAGCAAAATATCCATTCTTCTCAAGTGACAGGGAACACTTACCAAGAAAGACAATATTCTGGGCCATATAACAAGTCTCAACATATTTAAAAAGGATTCAAATCATACAAAGTTATGATCTTTGATGACACTTGAATCAAATTAAAAATTAATAAAAGAGGGGCTGGCCCCGTGGCCGAGTGGTTAAGTTTGCATGCTCCGCTGCAGGCAGCCCAGTGTTTTGTTGGTTCGAATCCTGGGCGCAGACATGGCCCTGCTCATCAAACCACGCTGAGGCGGTGTCCCACATGCCACAACTGGAAGGACCCACAACGAAGAATATACAACTATGTACCAGGGGGCTTTGGGGAGAAAAAGGAAGAAAAACAAAATCTTTAAAAAAAAGAAAGTTCTCTGAAAACCTGCAAATATTTGAAAAATAAGGAACACACTTCTAAATAATCCATGGGTTTAAAAAGGAATCTAAAGTCATATTGGAAAGCATTTTGAACTGAATTAAAATGAAAACACAACATATCAAAATTTGTGGCTTGTCACTAGAGCAATACTTAGAAGGTTAATTTATAGCATTAACTTTATATTAGACCAGGATAAACATCTCAAATTAATGACCTCAGCTTTCACCTCTGGAAACTGGAAAAAAAGACCAAATGAAACTCAAAGTAAGCAGAAGAATGGACATCATAAAGATCAGAACATAAATAAATGAAATAGAAAACAGAAAAAACAATAGAGAAAAATTAATGAAACCAAAAACTGGTTCTTTGAGATCAATAAAATTGATCAACCTCTAGCCACTCTGACAAGGAGAAAATGAGAGAAGACATAAATTACAAATATCAATAGTGAGAAAGGTGACATTACTATAGATTTTACAGATCTTAAAAGGATAAAATGGGGGATATAATGAATGACATTAGCCCAATAATTTCAACAACTTAGATGAAACAGACAGGGGCCTGCCTGGTGGTGCAGCAGTTAAGTGCACATGTTCCACTTCTTGGTGGCCTGGGGTTCACCAGTTCGGATCACGGGTGCAGACATGGCACCGCTTGGCACACCATGCTGTGGTAGGCGTCCCACATATAAAGTAGAGGAAGATGGGCACGGATGTGAGCTCAGGGCCAGTCTTCCTCAGTAAAGAGGATTGGCAGCAGATGTTAGCTCAGGGCTAATCTTCCTCAAAAAAAAAAAAAAATGGTCACAGATAATGGAGGAAGAAATAAAATGATTGAGCTGATGCTATGTTTAAAAAGTAAAATAACTTTATTTTAACATAACGTTAAAAGAAAAGATTTAATAGGAAATCTATTTTTTTGCCATTTTTGCTGGCAAAATGTTTAAAGTTCTTTTATCCTTCAATATAATATATTAAGTAAAACAAATGTCCAGAAGTCTCTAATGAAAACATTGATGATGGACATGACAGCAATATTAACCTTGATAAACAGCTGACTCCAATTTGCTACTCCTTAATTAATATACAGGTATACTTTACTATCCTGGAACATTTCTTTTTCAATGCAGAATAAATCATCTTTCTTCTTATAGAGTGAATAACAGAGTCCACTGCACACAGTAGGTATTCATAAATACCTGTGATATTGTGATTTTTTAATAAGAAATATATATTTGGTCTTTGTTCCTGTTTCTGGCACAGAGCTCCTAAAACCCTTGGAATTTCCTAAATGCAAAGAGCCATTAAGGTGTCTTTTGTTATGTTAATGAGGTGAATTTTGGAACCCACCTCAGGATGAGGACTGGTTGCCAATGGAGTCAACCATATGATTAGAGGATTGGAACTTTCAGTCCCACCCCTCAACCTCTGGGGATGGGGGAGGGCACAGAGGTCGAATCAATTGCCAGTGGCCAATGATTTAATCAATCATGCCTATGTCATGAAGCCTCCATATAAACCCAAAAGAACAGGGTTCAGAGAGCTTCCAGGTCGGTGAACATGTGGAGATGCAGGGAGAGTGGTGTGCCTGGAAAGGACATGGAAGCTCTGTGCCCCTTCCCACATACCTTGTCTCTGGGTATATAGTATCTCTGGGTAGACAGTGTCAGAATTGAGTTGACTTGCTTGTTGGTGTAGGGGGATGTCCCTCCCTCACACATGGGAAATTAGATGCTCAGAACACCAAAAAGAGTTGTTTAATTGGATTAGCATAAATTCTGTTTGGATTCATTAATTCAAGCTTCTGAATTTCTCAACTTGTGCCTTTCATAAAGGGCAACCAGTCTGGAGCTCAAACTGCTCCAGGATTTGCCCAGCTACCCTGAGGGCTGAACAGGAATATCACAGCATAGGCATATCTGTAACTAAGTCAAGATACATGTTGATGCAGACATACCAGCTAGGAAACCATGCTTAAGTTAATGGGAAGGTCACAGCACGAATGGGATGAAGTTCATATAAGATTCCAACACTGTTAACTTTGTGGACAGAAACTCCATTTTAAGGCCAAATCTCTCACCAATCACCTTCCAAATAAGCGAAGACAGTCAAAAGATACCCTGGAGACTTCCATTCTCTAAAGACAATTCTTAACTGATATGGGTTTGCAGCATAATCTTCCCCTTCCCCCACAGCTTTTTAAACTTAATTTTTGAATAGGTTGGTTCAAATGACAAAAAGTACAAAAAAGCATACAGTGCCAAGACTTTCCCCCCAGTTCTTGTCCCACATCTGCCTAGTTCTTACTCCTTCTATAGGTAGCCCTAGTTCTTTTTTTTTTTTTAAAGATTTTATTTTTTTCCTTTTTCTCCCCAAAGCCCCCCAGTACATAGTTGTGTATTTCTCATTGTGGGTTCTTCTAGTTGTGGCATGTGGGACGCTGCCTCAGCGTGGTTTGATGAGCAGTGCCATGTCCGCGCCCAGGATTCGAACCAACGAAACACTGGGACGCCTGCAGCGGAGCGCACGAACTTAACCACTCGGCCACGGGGCCAGCCCCTAGCCCTAGTTCTTTTATTCTATGTAACCTTCCATAGCTTCTTTTTGCATGGTGGCATCATCTTTACATAGGAAAGCTAAAATATATATTCAACTCCATTATTTTAAAAACAATGTTTTTTCTATTATGGTCAAAGAGGATTATTTATTCTTTGTGTTAACAGCCAAATACAACTCATAAATAACATTTATACCTCTATCAGAGTTGCCCTCTAAGACTGCAATCTTGAATACATAAAATTGAGTGAAAATATTTGTAGGATCACGTTGTTCAGCTTCTGCCACTGCCACTTTAGCCTGAAAAGAAGAAATATTGGTTCTCTTTTATAAAAGCTATAAGGAAGACTTTATCATATTTTACTAATATTATTAACATAGTCACAACGGCTGAAGGATACTCATAATGAAAAGACACGAATCTAAGAAAAATCTTTAAAGGACTGTTCTCTTAAAATGCTAACAAAACAACGAGTTCTGCTTCTGAAAATAGGGTGCATTATATACGCCAGCTCAACCCTCCTACTGAAAACAAACAAAAAGTTGGATAACGTTATTTTAAATTTCAAAAGCAATTGACAAGATAGTAAAGCAATTACCAAGCAAAATCTAAGAAAAAGTGAGGTCCCAAAGAAGTAAGCAGAGAATTAAAGACAATTTTTTTCTGGTGGGCATTTGTAAATCCAGGCAAATGTTAACTTTAGTTTTAATAGACTTCACTGGGTCAGGGAAACAGACTTCAAGGCCCAAGAGATCAAACTCTTAGGCTAAGGGCAAATCAGCAGCATTCCTATCCATATTGCCAGGGGACTGCAAAGAAAGTTACCTTGGTTCTGAGAAGAGTGCAGAAAAATGGGGTGGGGAGAACCAATCCCTGAGCTGTAACACAAATAGATTCCTATGTATTTACAGCCCCAAATTACATTATATGGGAAAGCCTAAAGGTTCCAAGCTATGAATTTAGTTTACATTGACTCCAAACATCTGAAGAAGCAAATGAAAATCCTCTCTGGGGGAAGGTACCTTCATCTTAGGCTTCAAAATATTTCCATAAATAATTTTTCAAGAATCATGAGTAGTAAACATAAAAAAATCAAGCACACTGGGAAACAAGGCACCATAAGTGAGAATCAGTAGAAAAAACAGATAGCAGAAACAGATTCTCAAGATGCAGATATCAGAATTTTCGAAAGCTATCTATAAAACACCTATGTTTTCAAAGTTTAAAGAAATAAAAGATATGTTCAAAAATATACATAAGTAGGTTGCTATTCAATAGTACATACTGATACAGTTACAGGTGTTGTTTGCAGCTGGTATCCATTCTGATTGATTATTGCCCATGCCATATAAGTTGTTAAACACTTTGAATATCACAGAAGTTTGTAGGAAACAGAAACCATATTATGTGACCTTGCTGATTTGAAAAAAAAGAACTACTTGAAATGAAAAATACAAAAACGCAAATGGAAACATAATGGATAGGTGTAATAGCAGACTGAAATAGGTGAAGAAAAAATTAGTGAACTGAAAGATAAAACAGAATAAATTAGCCAAACTGCAGCACAGGGAGATTATAAACATGGAGGACAGTTAAGTAAGAATTCTATTCTTTTTAGGACAACTGCTAAAAGACTAGAAACAGTAAATGATTTCCACACTAGCAGAAGGGGGTAACTAGAAAGTAAAAGAAAAAGAATGAGGACAGTTTTTTCAACAAATGGTGCTGAAACAACTGGACATCCACATGCAAAAAAATGAATCTGGACACAGACCTTAAACCTTTCACAAAAATTAACTCAAAATGGATCAAAAACCTAAATGCAAAACCACAAATTATAGAACTCTTAGAAGGTAACATGGGAGAAAATCTAAATGACCTTCAGTTTGGTGATGACTTTTTAAACACAATACCAAAAGCACAATCCATTAGAGAAAAATTGCTCTGTGAAAGACACTGTTAAGAGAATGAAAAGGCAAACCACGCTGTGGGAGAAAATGTTTGCAAAACACATATCAGATAAAGGATTGGTATCCAAACTATATCAACAATTCTTAAAACTGAACAATAAGAAAACAAGTAACCCCAATATACAATGGGCAAAAGATGTAAACAGACACCTCACCAAAGAAGACATACAGATGGCAAATGAACATATAAAAAGATGCTAAACATTGTATTTCATCAAGGAAATGCAAATTAAAACAGCAACGAGATACCATTACACACATATTAGAAGGGCTAAAATCTAAAACACTGATAACACCTAAACCTGGTGAGGATATGCAGCAACAGGAATTCTCATTCACTGCTGGTAAGAATGAAAAATAGTAGAGCCATTTTGGAAGACAGTTTAGCAGTTTCTCACAAAACTAAGAATATTCTTGCTGTATGATCCAGCAGTTGAACTCCCTGGTATTTACCCTAATGAACTGAAAGCTAATGTCCACACAAAAACCTGCACATCAATGGTTATAAAAGTTTTATTTATAATCCTGAAAACTTGGAAGCAACTAAGATGTCCGTCAATAGGTGGTAAAAATATAGTCAAATTCAGACTACTCTAATACTGTAATGGTGGTGTGTAAATCACTTTTATCTCTACTATAAAAGTTAAAAAACAATAATATTGAAAATAACTATGGCTACGATAATTTGTTAACAGATGTCCAATATAAAAGAAGTGTGAAATCAATAGCATAAAATGTGGGCAGAGGAGAAATAAAAGTTTAGAGTTTTTCTGTGTGATTGAACATAAGTTGTTAGCTTAAAATAGACTTTTATATCTGAAAGATGTTTTATGTAAGACACATGGTAACTACAAAGAAAATATCTTTTAATACATACATAAAAAATAAAGAGAAAGGAATTAAGGCATACCACTACAAAAAATAAATCAGAAAGGAAGACAGCTAGAGAAGAAGAAAGGAACTAAAAACACAGAAAACAACTTAAAAAATGGGAATAGTAGGGGCCAGCCTCGCGGCACAGTGGTTGAGTTCGGTATGCTCTGCTTTGGCAGCCTGGGTTCATGGGTTTGGGTCCCAGGCACAGACCTACCCCACTCATCAGCCATGCTGTGGTAGTGACCCACATATAAAGTGGAGGAAGACTGGCACAGGTGTTAGCTCAAGGCTGATCTTCCTCAAGCATAAAAAGAGGAAGATTGGCAACAGATGTTAGCACAGAGCTAATCTTCCTCAGGAAAAAAAAGGAACAGTAAGTCCTTATTTATCAATATTACTTTAAATGTAAATGGACTAAATTCTCCCATCAAAGACATAGAGAGGCTGAAAGGATTTAAAAAAAAACCCAAAACAAGATCCAACAATATGCTACCTACAAGAGACTCATTTTAGCTTAAGAGCACACATAGGCTGAAGGTGAAGGGATAGGAAAAGATATTCCATGTAAATGGTAACTAAGAGAGTAGGAATGACTATACTTACATCAGATAAAATAGACTTTCATCAAAATCAATCACAAGAGACAAAGAAGGTCACTATATAGTGATAAAGGGATCAATTCATCAAGAAGATATAACAATTGTAAATACATATGCACTCAACATTCAAGCATCTAAACATTTAAAGCAAATATTAACTGAACCGAAGGGAGTAATTGAGGGCAATACATAACAGTAGGGGACTTCAACACTCCACTTTCAATAATGCATAGACCGTCCAGACAGAAAATAATTTGAATAATAAATAAATAAATAAAATAATAAAGAAATAGTGGACCTGAATAACACTGTAGACCAAATGGACCTAACAGACACATACAGAACATTTCATCCAACAGCACCAGAATAGATGTTCCTCTCAAGTACACGTGGAACATTCTCCAGATCATACGTTGGGCCAGAAAGCAAGCCTTAACAAATTTAAGAAGACTGAAATTATATCAAGTATCTTTTCCAATCACAATGGTATGAAACTAGAAATAAAAAACAGGAGGAAAAATAAAAAATTCACAAATGCATGAAAATTAAACAACACACTCCTGAACAACCAATGGGTAAAAGAAGAAATCAAAAGGGAAATCAGAAAGTATTTTGAGACAAAAGAAAATGAAAATACAACATACCAAAATTAATGGGATGCAGCAAAAATAGGTCTAAGAAGGAACTAGTTTATAGCGATTAATGCCTACATTAAGAAAAACAAAGATCTCAAATAAACAACCTAACTTTACAGCTCAAGGAATTAAAAGAAAGAAGGAAAAAACCACGCAAATTTAGCAGAAGGAGGAAAATAATAAAGATTAGAGCATAAATAAATGAAACAGAGACTAGAAAAAAACAATTAAACTGAGTTAGTTTTTTGAAAAGATTAACAAAATTGACAAACCTTTAGCTAGACTAAGAAAAGAGCGAAGATTCAAATAAATAAAATCAGAAATAAAAGAGGAGACATTACAACTGATACCACAGAAATACATAGGATCATAAGAGACTACTAAGAACAATTATATGCCAACAAATTGGATAACCTAGAAGAAATGGATAAATTCCTAGAAATATACAACTTACCAAGACTGAATCATGAAGAAACAGAAAATGTGAATAGACCAATAATTAGTAAGGATATTAAATCAGTAATCAAAAACCTCCCAACACAGAAAAGCCCAGGACCAGATGGTTCTAGTGGTGAATTATACCAAACATTTAAAGAAGAATTAATACCAATCCTTGTCAAACTCTACACAAAATTGGAGGGAACACTCTCAAACTCATTTTGTGAGGCCAGCATTACTGTGAGACCAAAGCCAGATAAGGATACTACAAGAAAAAAAGCTACAAGCCAATATCGCTGATGAATTAGATGCAAAAATTCTCAATAAAATACTAACAAATCAAATCCAATAGCACATTAAAAGGATTATAAACCATGATCAAGTGAGATTTATCCCTGGGATGCAAAGATGAATCAATAAATGTGATACATCACTTTAATAGAACAAAAATAATAGAATGAAAAATCATATGATTCTCTCAATAGATGCAGAGAAAGCAGTTGACAAAATTCAACATCCTTTCCTGATGAAAGCTCTCAAAAACTGGGTCTAGAAGGACCATACTTCAACATAATAAAGGCATATGACAAGCCCACAGCTAACCTCATAGTCAATGGTGAAATACCGAAAGCTATTCCTCTAAGATCAGGGACAAGACAAGGGTGCTCAGTCTCACCACTTTCATTTAACATAGTATTGGAAGTCTTACCCATAGCAATTAGAAAAGAAAAAGAAATAAAAGGCATCCAAATAGGAAAGGAAGAAGTAAAATTGTCTCTGT